GATGAGAGTGACATCATAAATCAAAGTTGGAAAATGAAAAATGGTGAATCCGTCATTATTGAACAATAAAATATGAAAATTCGTACATATTTTATATGTCTACATCGACTTAAAGTATTAAGTTTAAAAAATTGAACAGGAGAAACTGTATCAATAAATTTTTGTTGCTATCATTGAAAATTGATTTAAGGCCTCAATATCCTTTGTTTTTTTTGTTTTTTTTTGCATTAGCAGTTTTGCAGCCATAGCTATGTTCACTATTTCATTTTAATTTAGACTATAAACATGATATAGATGTATACATCTATAGTACACTGCTAAGTTTTTATAATCCAACAGCGTTGTATAGTTAAAAGGAAGGGGAACTAAAAGTAATAATTTTTTGAAATTTTTTTGTCGTTTGCTTTGGAAACTTTGGCAGCTCATTGTTTCCTCTTCCCCGGACTTATCGCATATCGTGCTATCTTTAAGTCCTATTTTGTAAAGGTACTTTTTACATAGTAGATGGTCAGAACGTAGATGGTTTTGCATAGTCTTTTTGGTGTCTTACGTCCTACATACCATGGTAATGACGATATTTCTGACTGAATAGATTTAAAAAAATTGATTTTCGGGACTCAGAATACCTACTCTGCAATACTTTTCGATTGAGTTTTTTATTTTCAGTTAAAGCGTCTGAGATCGCCATTTTAAAGTCGTTCGTATCTGACCCTTCGGTTTTGGTGAGGGTGTCGACAATCTCATTGTTTTTAATTGCGCATTGCGCAATAACCCAAATCAATTTAATATTTATATTTTTTTTGCTTCATGATGTAGAGGTTGTACATTATTTCTACTATTATGGGATTCGATGAAGTTTCTAATGTTGTGTTTTATTTTTAGTTGTGCACTTCTACTATCAGATAGAATTATAATTTTTGTTTGGTTTGCTATCTTTTGGGTGTACTAATGGCTTTTAGGATAGCATAACACTCAGCGGAATATAGCGAATATTTGAAAGCTTGTACTGTTATTTATAATTCAAATTAGAATCATAGTTCGCACAACTTACACCGTCTTGGGATTTTGATCCATCTGTGAATATAGTATTGAATTCCGACTAAGGAGTTCATTTCGTTTAGGAATACATTGTTTACTATGGAATTACTAATATGTTGATATCCATGGTTTTGTCACGTCAAACGGATTATTTTACAACCTGCTAAAATATATGAATATTTGCTGTTGCAAAGCAGGATTTCAGAAGATCAATCCTTCTAAAATGTACTATTACATTTAAGACTGTTTTGTAAAATCCCGTCCGTTCATGAGAAGAGGCTGGATGGGTGTGGATTAGTCTTACTTGTATATGACACGTTATCGGTGGTTGGTTCAAATCCCGGTATAGATATTTCTTATTTAAGTGTTATTATTTAAAAATTGTTTTAATGTCAATTTCCGAAAGAAATTTTGACTGTTAGTCCGCAAATAGTTTTCCATTTAAGCGCTACTTCCTATGGTAGAAATTATGTTTCTTTGCTTAACATAAGTCGATGTTTTAAGAAATGAAGGACAGGAAAATAGATAAATACAATAGGTATAGTATATGGAATGTCACACATATTAGTAGGGTTATGTTAGGAGAGTTTTTGGTTATAAATTAATGTTTGGCAGTTAAGCAAATCAATAGTGTTATGATATATGATTATTTGGAGGTCGTGAGATGCGGTCTGGTGTGACGTAGGTTTTAGAAAAACGTTTTCTTTATAGTGCCAACGTTTCGATCTTTATTGAGATCATCTTCAGGGCTCAAAGTATTTGTTTTCCGTGTAGATGGTCATTCTTGTGTGTTGTGTTGAGAGTTGCACCTCACGATCTCCAAATAATCATTGGCTAACGGTCACTAAACACTACACACGTTATTATATATATATATATAAAGAGAGAGAGAGAGATAGAGAGACAAGAAGGAAGAGAGAGGGAGAGAGAGAGAGTGAGAGAGAAAGAGAGGGAGAACGTTAAGAGTGACATGAAATCAAAAGGAAGGTAGATATGGACATAAGTAAATAGGAAAATTGGTAAAGAAAGAGTGGAAGAGAGAGAAAGAGAGATTGAGAGAGAAAAGGGTGTAAAGAGATACAGTATTAATAGGTAGTTAGATTGATGAATATAAAAGTAAAAGAGAATGAGAGAGAGAGCGAGAAAAACAGAGAGAGATAGAGAGAGAGAGAGAGAGAGAGAGAGAGAGAGAGAGAGGGCGCGCTAACGACTGATTGTAGGAGAGAGAAAGAGAGAGAGATAGATAGATAGATAGATAGATAGATAGATAGAGAGAGAGAGAGAGAGAGAGAGAGAGAGAGAGAGAGAGAGAGAGAGAGAGAGTTGTTTCCAAAAACAAACATTCTTTATTAACATAAAATTTTGACGCAGCTAGTTATAAGAAAATATATTATTTATATAAAAAGAGAGAGAAAAGTTGGATGAGTTCATATAAGAAAGATTCCTATTTGTAGTTTATAAATTAGAAAGAATGTACAGGAGTTGTTGTACCAGTTTGGCACCTTTGACAGGCGTATTTTATTTATCTTCGATTTTCAAAATATTGACGTTCCATTGACTCGATATCAATTGGACGCGGGATGAAAAAGAAAATGAAAATAGGAATAGGGCGTCTGTTAATTGTAAAATTCAGTCAAAGAGGATGAATCAACGTACTGTCAGTCGTGATTATCGTGTTGAAACACACAAAGCTGAATCGTGAAGCACTGCATATTGAAAAATTCATTTTTCGTGTTTCATTGTTTTACTCTTCCACCGTTGGATGCACAACTTTCCTTTATAGGAGCACGTGAGTCGAAAAACCATCACCCGTGACCGTGTAGACTGTAGACCGTTCCGATCTATTTACTTCCACATTACTAATTATACTGATCTATCTTTTCCTCGAATTTTACCGTGTACGTTTTGAAAATATCCACACGGTAAGGAAGCACCGCTAAGGCACAAACGGCTGACTCAATTTTGTAACCACGAAACCGTTCTCGTCCGGTGATGATTACCCGAGGAAAACAGGCAACAGAACCGTTGAATATATTATTTTTTACTAAAAACCATTAACTATTAAAAAAATTATTTAACCTTTATCAAGGCAATTCACGTCATGGACTTTTTTCCTCGAGCTGATCGGAAAATTGTAGGCTTTAGGTGCGTGGTAAAAGATTTTCCGATGTAAACGGAATTTCTTTCATCTGTGCGATATTTGAGTTTTTTCTTTTTTTGACTACTTTGTGAAGTTATTTTTTTAAACGCCGAGTTTGAAAGGCAAAGGATGCTACACTTCGCCTGTCACAGCACTTTGTATAGTTTTTTCAACGGTTTTTGTCAAAACACGACGAGAGAGGAAGAGATAGAAAGATAGAGAGTGAGAGAAAGATAGAGAGGGAGAGAGAGAATGAGAGAGTAAGAGAGAGGGAGAGTGAATATCCTTTGTAACGCAGGAAATGAAATAACACGGAATGTAAACAAACTAGCGAAAAGACCCACTTTTACACTTTGCTCCACTTTCTCCTTAAGTATGCTCCTACGAAGAACAGAATTTTTAATACCTCCTTATTGATATTTATTCGCAAAGTATTTTGTTCCATTAATTTATCCGACTAATTAATTTGAATAATATAGTATCTATAACTAGTTACCTGTCACACGATTTTTTAAAAAAATATTTACCAATGTAAACAAACACATATTTTAGTTTGTATATTTTTCTTTGTATAGTAAACTTAATAAATATTTTATCTTATTATAATTATATTATTTTAATACGTTAATTTCTTTAAATTTTCATGTTAGTCTCTTTTTTTCGTTCTCCCTATCTCTCTTTGTCTGTCTTTCTCTCTCTCTCTCTCTCTCTCTCTCTCTCTCTCTCTCTCTCTCTTAATCCTCCTTTTCCCCACCCCTTTCTCTTCTTTTACGTATATCCCAACTATATATGTACCTTCCTTTTTACCATTTATTTCTTTCTACTTCTTGTTACTATTTACCTTAATTTATCTTAACGTTAACCATGAGGCTTGTTCCTTTACCTTCCACTCTTTCTTTTATTTTCTTTTTTCTTATCTCCCTTGTTAACGTAGTCAGTCAATCTGACACATTCATTTTAACATTGGAATTTCTCTCTCTCTTTCTTTCTTTCTCACTCCCTCTCTCTCACATTTTTATCCCTCGTTTTTCTCTACCCCTCCCTCTTGGTTTCTCTTTACGTACCTACGTATATGCCCATCTATGCATGTATCTTCCTTTTTACCTTTTAACTCTTTCTACTTTTTTGTTTCCTCTTTATCTTAATCCCACTTTTAACGTTAAACATGAGTCTTGTCACTTTACCTTCCACTCTTTCTCTTATTGTCTTTTTTTCTTATCTCCATTGTTCACCTAGTCAGTCAATTGTCACCCTCTCACACTCATGTTAGACCCTTTCTCTCTCTCTTTCTCTCTCTCTCTCTCACTCACTAACTCACTCACTCACTCACTCACTCTCTCTCTCTATCTATCTATCCATCTATCTATCTATCTATCTATCTATCTATCTATCTATCTATCTATCTATCTATCTACCTCCCTCTATCTCTCTCTCTCTCTCACTCTCTCTAATCCCCTCTCTCTTTTCCTTTCTTTCCCTTTCTTTCGCTTTTTTAACCCTCGTTTTTATCAATCTCTCTCTCTTGCTTTCAATTTACGTACCTACGTGTATGCCCATCTATATTTGTACTTTTCTTTTTATCTTTTATATCTTTCTACTTTTTGTTTAGTCTTTATCTTCATCTCACTTTTAACATTAACCATGAGGCTTGCCCCTTTACTTTCCACTCTTTCTTTTCTTGTCTTTTTTCTAATATCTTTGCTCACCTTTCTTCTTCTCTTGTTCCCTCTCTCTCGCTCGCATTGACACTCTATCTCTCTCTTTCTTCTTTTGATAAAGTGGTTGGTGATAAAATAAATAAAATGAATAACAAACTAAAAAAACAAAATATATATGTATTTTTTATTATAACTACAATTGATTATTTTCAGTCAGATTTGTGAGATTCTTCACTGTACTTATATTCTACGTGACCTTCTTTTTCTTCTTTGTGAGATTCAACATGGGTGGGTTTGTAAACTTTGTAGTACTCAGGAACTTTCACATAGACAGGAACTTTTTTCTCTACGGTGACCGGGTAAGGCTTCTCGACGATCACTTCATAAGGCTTGGGCACTTCGACTTCGTACGGCTTCTCGACGGGGACTTTGACTTCGACGGGTACTTTCTTTTCAACGTAGTAAGGCACTTTTTTCTCGACTGTTACAGGCACGTTGTATGGTTTTGGGACATCATAGTAGACTTTCACCGGGACGGGGACTTCTTTGTATTCGGGAACCTTGACCTCCTTGACTACTTCGTAGGGCACTGGTTTCTCGACTTTGTACGGCACTGGATGAGGTACTTCGACTTTGACCGGAACACGGACGATTTTCTCGACGGGGTACGGTTCTGGGACGTACACTTTGACTTCGACTGGGACTTTCTTCTCCACGGTGTACGGCACAGGCTTTTCGACTTCGTACGGGACTGGATGATCCACGTGGACGTGAACCGGATACTTCTCTTCTTTTTCAACTTTAACCGGGTACGGCACTTTTTCCTCCTTGGTCACGATGATAGTCCTGTGCTGCTTGATTTCATGGTAACTCTTGTGCTCCTCCGCCGATGCCAGCAAAACTAAAGCTAAAGAGAAAGCAACTGTAACCGACTTCATCTCGGACCAGACTAACGAATCTGGGTAAAAGCTGCCCGCTTTATATGGACCATTACATCACGAATGCAGTCCGGTTTTCTTGTTATTATATGATCATTAATTATTCAATTGCATCAAGTCTTTACTCCCAATTATATTTTAAAACAATTTCAAAGCCCTATATTTGAGCAATACTCGTTAAAGCTATCTACTTTTAAGTTTATCTTAGAATAAATTTAATTTAAAAAATTACATTGACAATATTTTATTATCGCTTTCAAAATTTGTGATGATTGAAACTGGAATATTTATCAACATGTTATCCACTAGCAAAATATCTACTTCACATAATTCTTACAAAACTAGCAGTTTTTTATTTATTTATTTATTTTTTATTTGACTTATTTTAAGTATATTATAAGTGTTTTTTAAACTTTTGTCGTCAAATCATTTGAGTAGATTGAATTGGAAGCTTTATGGCTTCGACTGTTTATGAATGGGAGGTTCATCCAGCCAGTTGACTCTGACTAATGCCTTAATACAACAGGATTTGGCTAACGAATTGATTTGAGCATACTGATTAGGCCCTGATTAGACGGAACTTTTGGGTATTTTGGCAACGGAGGAATTTATCAGTAATTATTCAATCTTCTATGGGTGGGTGGGGGGATTATCTTCAAAGACCTCCTGAAGCGGTTTGGTCGTCCGATTGATCAATTGCCGCTGAAAGAATTAATTAACGAAATCGACGTTATATAAAAATTGTCAACTGTTATTTTGGTACAGTTCAAGGAGAAGGAAGTTTAAAAAAAATAGGTAAAATATATCAAAACACTTTTATGAATTGTTTCTCAAAATTGTTTCGTTCAGAATCATTTATATCAAAATTTTTAAATTTTTTTAACGACAAAAAACCGTTAATAACTAATTTATATTGTTATTTTAAACCATTATTTTTACTTTTTCTCGACCAATAGAAAGACTTATTCCATATAAAAATAACCCGGAAAATTAATGGTGAAATTTTAATAATTATGACAGTGAATAATTTGTTCTCAGGTAAATTTGATTATTGTAAAATATAAATTTCCGGTAGTATTTATTATATTAGAATAATTATATTAGCTTAATTTTTTTGTAATTAATTACATTTGGAGTATCTTCACTCTTTATCTCTCACCTTCTATACATTTAGTTTAATAAATAATAAATTTATCGTTTATAAGTTTGTCATAATAATTTAATATAAATAGTAACGCATCTTTATATTATTACATTCAATTTATGAATCAATCCAATAATAAATCTTTGATCGTTTCCCCCCCGATTATTCTCGTTGAGAGCCTTGATCTCCTGATCAATAATAATAATAATTTGTCAAAAACTTCAACTGCCCGAGGGTAAAAGTAGAAAATACTAAATCTTTTAATTAGTTTTCAAATAATTAAGGCTTTGGTTGAGATAAAAAAGTGAATGTCACGAGGGGGATTCGAACCCACGACCTTCAGCTAAATACGTCGCTGCTCTACCACTTGAGCTATCGTGGCTTCGATCCATTCAGATACAAACTTCCCATCTTAACCTCACCTACTGAATTTTCCGTCTTTTTTTGCCATTTTTCAAATGTCGTGTAATCTCTTTGATTCTCGGCGACAAATGAAATGGCCACGGAGAGGTTTTGTGAAGAAATGCTTTTTTTAACTTATTAAATTGTTAGATTTTGTGGTCCGATTGACCAAATAACATCTTTCAATTAATTAAACTTTATGTAAAGTATTAGTTGAGATAAAAGGAGGGCCTATTTTAGTGCTAGTGTTTTAAGGACCAGTCATTTTTACATGCACATTGCCGTCGGTAAATTGCAAGAGAAAGTATACAAATGCTGAGCAATTCCGAATAATCTACCGAAATCGACCCGATTCAAGCCCATCTTCAAGTCAGCTGTCCCCAGCTGTAAAATGTCTGAATTTAATACTTTACGAATGCTTTCACGAAGAAAGGATTTTGTAACACCTAGTGTCTATGTAGATCCATAAATGAAATTTGCATTTATTACTAATTCTCTACGCATTTCGTCCATTATGAACTATTAGATTAATTTTAATTAAAGTTTAATTAATTGAAAGATGTTATTTGGTCAATCGGACCACAAAATTTAAAAATTTAATAANAAGTATCAATTAATTCAACCAAATGTTATTTGGTCAATCGGACCACGAAATCTAATGAATTATGTTATAAACTTTACGCTTTCCTTTGATGCTTCGCTTTCGCTTTATTTTATAATAGTGCTAGTATTTTAAGAAGACAATTTTACATGAACATTGCGGTCGGTAAATTGCAAGAGATAGCATATAAATGCTGACCATTTCCGAATAATCTACCGAAATTGACCTGATTCAAGCCAATCATCCAATCAGTTGTTCCCAGCAGTAAAACGTCTGAATTTAATACTTTACGAAGGCTTTCACGAACAACAGTAACACCTAGAGTCGGTAAACTGTGTAGTTCCATAAATGAAATTTGCATTTATTACTAATTGTCTACGCATTTCGTCCATTATAATTATTAGATTAATTTTAAAGAAGAATTTATATTAAGTATCGATTTTTTTTAATCAATACGATCGCTTGACAATCGAAAAATCACAAAAGTTGTGAAAGCTAAAAAAAATATTTTTTACTGCTGCTCTACCACTTGACCTTTAAGTTAGTGTCCGAATGGATCGAAGTCACGACAGTCAAAAGGTGGAGCAGCGGCGTATTTAGCCGAAGGTCGTGGGTTCGAATCCCGCTCGTGACACTGACTTTTTTATCTTAACCAAAGCCTTAATTAATTGAAAAGAATTTATTTGGTCAATCGGGCCACGAAACCTAATAGATCTTTTAAATAATAATTTTTCCGATATTAGACACGATCATTTTATACGGTATAAGTGAAATGGCCAAAAAATACTGTGTACACTACTTACCATAATGCACTCGTATTTTTTGGGGACACCTCCATTTATAGGACACTTACAGACTCACCAGCATGGAGAATTTATTTTTTCTCATTTAAAAACTTGAATAAAGGAGAAGAAAACTTGTACTATTGTCAGTAAAAATACAGAAAACCTTAGAGTAGGAACCAGATTAGTTTTGCTCATTTCGCATGCAAGAGTTAAAACTACTTTTAATTATTTTACAATTATTTATTTATCAAATTGGAATTTTTCATTGCTTTGTTTTAATCTTTCCTCCCTCCCATATCATATTCTATTTCGTATATTGTTTTCATTCCAGGATTTCAATCGACGTTTAACAAAGTTCAATTTTTGTAGTGATAACATGGGTCAGATTGCCAACGTTTGACTTTGATTTAGAAGTTTCTGCGTATCTATGTTTTGAGGAAGGGCTTGATTTTTACGAACGTTTGGCCGACCTAGTCTAAGTACATCTGATAAATTGAACGTTACCTAATCGCTGGGAGGGTTAATTTTAAATTGTGTACAGTTGTTGATATTGAACATCTGTATACCTCTCACATTGTATCAGTACATGTTGGGTGAGTTTAACTTACTTCGAAAATCGAGTTTTTCTGGTTTTTATTTGAATTTTTACTGTTTTAGTGTTCCATAATCGGACGCACTGTACTTTTTTTTGCTACAAATCTCTTTCAAACTTTTTAAAGTGGGCCACGATCAGACACAAAGTTTGTTTTGTTTATGGTACTTGAGTGCCTACTTAACAAGTAAATCAACTCTCGCATTATACTTATTGTCGCTTCCGCCCTTCTATCGTATAAAAAACACAGGCCTTCAGAGTTAGCAGCTTTTGCCTGATAATTAAATTTCAAAGTAATTATTGTTCGTTCGTAACCGCAATCAGCACGCTAAACACTATTCCTATTTTACCTATTTACGCCAAATGTTTAAACAAACAAATTTACCAGTTGACAAATACGTTAGTAAACAGACACATTTAAATCTTGAATTGTCTGAGACAGAAAGATAACCATATGGCAAAAGGATGAGAAAACTGGCTATAATTAGACAAAAAAATTATTTTTGACTATCTTTGAATTCACAAATATTTCAAACAAATTAAATTTTATTAAGTTACTTTAATACCAAAGCCTCTAAAGATCAGAAAAACGCTGTATTTACTGATTATTTGGAGATCGTGAGATGCGGTCTGGTGTGTCGTAGGTTTAAAAAAATATTTTCTTTATCGTGCCAACGTTTCGATCTTTATTGACATCATCTTCAGGGCCTAGGATTTATAAACATTGTTTAAATTATACAAATACATGTATGATGTGAAAAAAATGAATTTATACAATGATAGAAATTTTATACTCAATCAAACTTTACAATTACACAGAAAAAAAAATACTTTGAGTCCGTACAAATACTTTGATTGAGTCTAAAATTTTCTAGCAAATTCATTTTTTCACACCCTATATGTATTTGTATAATTTAAGCAATGTTTATAAATCCCAGGCCCTGAAGAAGATCTCAATAAAGATCGAAACGTTGGCACCATAAGGAAATTGTTTTTCTAAAACTACGTCACACCAGACCTCATCTCACGAACTCCAACTAATCATTAATTAACATTAATTGATCGGAAACTGCTTGGTGATTGTCTAGTAGTAAAACACATAATACTTAAATATGTACTAATCATTAGGTTTTCCAAAATTAATAAACGTTTAATTACGTTGACGATAGTACCTCAGAGCTTGAAAATTTCGTAACAGAATACGTGTGACGTTTAGTGACCGTTAATTAATGATTAGTTGGAGATCGTGAGATGAGGTCTGGTGTGACGTAGTTTTAGAAAAACATTTTCTTTATGGTGCCAACGTTTCGATCTTTATTGAGATCATCTTCAGAGCTCAAAGTGTATGTGCTCTTGGGGTGCTCTCAACACGACACAATAATGACACATCTACACAGAAAACAAACAATTTAAGCCCTGAAGATGATCTCAATAAAGATCGGAACGTTGGCACGATAAAGAAAATATTTCTGTAAACATACAGACCTCATCTCACGACCTGCAAATAATCATAAAATAAAACAATTGCCAACAACGGCTAGAACCTTTTTGCACATAATGAGATCTTTAACAATAGCACGACATTTTGTGTTAACATTATTGTTCATGAATCACATAATATTTTAAATATAATTATAAATATGAGAACACGAGCGAAAATAGCTAGGTTACACAAGATTTGTACCAGCGAAACGTTAACGTAAGATTTTTATTATTTATTGATCATAAAGTTTTATGTATATTGATTGTTAAAGTACGTTGTTAATATCAAATAGTTATATTTGTCTCTCACTCTCTCTTTTCCTTTATTTCTATTTTTCTTCTATATTTTTCATCTTGAACTTATTCCTTTTTAATTATTAATGAATCAAAATTTCAACGATTGAAAGTAAGGTTTGTTTGTAATCAGTGATAAACTTGAACTGATGTATTACAACAACAAAAAATGGCCCAGATGTTATCACTGTTGTATTGTATAATTTTCAAGTCACGCCCGTTGAACTCGGATTTAATTATCACTTTCTTAACTCTTGACGTCACTGTGCATGACGATTCGAGCACTGCTCGCCCAAGGGGAAAAATAAAACAAACAATAAAATATCAAATTAACACTGGACGATGGCAGAACGTGTGTATATATTAAAAAAACAACACTTAAAATGAAAAGAATCTTTTTATATATTAAAATGTTTATTTACATAATATGAACTTTCTAGAAAAAAAGGCCAATCGGTCGGGAAAAAAAACATTTCCGGATAATAAATTAAAATTGGTAAAAGGTTAACTAGTGCAAAATTTGTACGTTTTGTATTTGGTCAACATTCAAATATTCCAGCGAGAAATAAATAGATTTCTGGTTTGCATCCTAGTCGTTAATCAGGCGTGATTATAATTTATTTCTCAGTTATTATAATTTACAAGAAAAATATATTAAAAACTGCGAGGAATGTGCGACCACGACATTGAAGGATGACTAATGTACAAACGAGTATACAAAATTTCCATATATTCAAAATATATTTGTTTAAAAATGTAATCATATTGTTTTTCACAACACTGAAGAAACGAACAGCTGAAACGTGTATGACAATCATCACACCGAGGATAGGCAGACCAAAATGAAAGCTATATTTTCATCTTGCTCACCACACATAGAAATATTAATTATAACTAATTTCTCTTTTCGTTTTACATAAAATTGATATAAGATTAATTCAAACGGAAATTAAGTAATTTTTTTCAAAAACCCATAGATCACATAAGAATCTGAATAAAGTGGTAACGCAGTGAACATGGGATTAAGTAAAAAGTATGTAAATAAGCATGACGCAACATTTTCGTTTGTTTCTACGTAAATATGGTTACTAAATATGTTGAAACAAATTAGATAATCAATAATATAAAAGTTAAGGCTGGTGAGCATTGTGGATCAGTTGAGTCCGAGATGAAGACGGTTACAGTTGTTTTTTCTTTAGCTCTAGTCTTCCTTGCTTCGGCAGAAGAGCACAAGGACTTTCATGAAATTAAACATCACAGGACGATATACTTGGTCAAGGAAGAAAAAGTGCCGTACCCGGTCAAAGTAGAAAAAGAAGAGAAGTATCCAGTCCACGTCCACGTGGATCATCCAGTGCCATACGAAGTCGAAAAGCCTGTGCCGTACACCGTGGAGAAGAAAGTCCCGGTCGAAGTCAAAGTGTACGTCCCAGAACCGTACCCCGTCGAGAAAATCGTCCGTGTTCCGGTCAAAGTCGAAGTACCTCATCCAGTGCCGTACAAAGTCGAGAAACCGGTGCCCTACGAAGTAGTCAAGGAGGTCAAAGTCCCCGAGTATAAAGAAGTCCGCGTCCCGGTGAAAGTGTACTACGACGTGCCCAAACCATACAACGTGCCGGTCACCGTCGAGAAAAAAGTGCCTTACTACGTCGAAAAGAAAGTACCCGTCGAAGTCAAAGTCCCCGTTGAGAAGCCGTACGAAGTCGTCGTCCATAAGCCTTACAAAGTGTTCGTCGAGAAGCGTTATCCTGTCACCGTCGAGAAGAAAGTCCCAGTCTACGTCAAAGTTCCTGAGTACTATAAAGTCTACAAGCCCGTCTACGTCGAATCCCACAAAAAGGAAAAGCACGGCCACGTAGTATTTAAACATTTTAAAAAATGGCACAAATTTGACTGATACGTATAGATAATTGTTGAAATAAAATGTTGTTGTAATTAATTTCATTTAATTACCACCTAAAATAATTAAAGGTCCAATATTAAAACAATATTTCAGTATTCATTTATTTTTACTCAACAGGTAACGATCCTTCATCGAAAAGAAAAAATGGATTTTATAATATTGATCTAGGTTGTCGATATGTTGTATGGTCCGCCTAATTTCCCTATTTGTCACACTGTCGATTTCTTCTTCTTGCACTTTATTTTGCCACTGTACCTGTATAGCTAGGCGTTTGGATAAAGGATGATAAGGGTCGGTCGGGGTTTGGATTTTACCTGTGCGCTGCTATGTATATTTGGTGATTTATCAGAACCGGCTCAGAATTTATCGGTTGATGTCACGATTTCGTTTTCTTATTGGGCAGAGCCGTGAGCCTAAGAAATTGCAAGACCCCAGAATGTTTCCTAAGCGTTTTCTCCAGACGAACTAATCGTTCCATTAAAATGGAAATCACAATGAAAAAAAATTCTGAAATGAAATAGACAAAAAAAAAGTATTTGGGAAAAATAATGAATACAAAGAAACGTAAGATATTGCGTTTATTAATTTTTTCCGCTTAGGACAACAACCAATTTTGTCTAAACTGATAATAAACAATTGTTTTTTCTGAATATTAAAAACTAATTACTTACTCACATAGGTCGTTCTTGTAATACAAACTCGTTAAAATTTACGTAAAATTCATTTTATAATAAACAAAATCTTTCCATTTTCAAGGAATTATCTTTTATCAATTTTAACACGATTTATCATACAAATACTTTACATAACAAGAAAAAAAACATAATCTATAAACGAGTATGAGAAATTCGGACAAGTTTAGCTAACAACATCCATCGGAAATTGAAAATTTTAAAAATCATTTTTGAGTTTTGTTTAAAACGCGTTCAAAAGAGAATCTTATTTGAATGCTTGCACAGAGATCTACTTGATGATGATGATTTGATGATGTGAGACATGATTTAATCTTATTTGCAGAATTGGATTTCCTTAGGATCTCTGTACAAAAATTAATTAAACAGTTGATTTTCATTGTAATAAATTAATAGAGTTAATTTATTTTTGAAATTTCAGTAGTTTTGAGTTTATGTATATATAATTGTCGACAACAATTTTTTATCTATAGTTTTTCTACATATTAGTAAATTAAATATATTTTCAAAAATGAAAAGTAAAGTACAGTATTTTTTAAAGTAATTATAATAAAAAATAAAAAGTAAAATGTTGAACATTTTAATTATTACTTTGTTAAAAAAAAAAAACACCTTTGCTTCCGCGCGGGTGGCACAATTTGTCAAATTCGTCCTCCACTTTTCACCACAAACCGTATATCCTCTTAGAAAAAGTCACAAAGAAATGTTTGTAAACTGTAGATCTCATCAGAAAACGAAAGAGGAAAATGAAAACATTTGCAATCGACGCTTACGTTACGCATTGCATAAGTTTTCATATATAAGGCACGCGAGACCCTTCAAGCGCATCAGTTGTCAGTATGAAGCCGGTAATAATTCTTGTGTTTTCGTGTGTTGTGTTTGTTTGTGGTACGGAACATCACGGTGATTCGCACAGTCATGTCAACCAGCATCACACCATAGTCCTTACCAAGGAAGTCAAGGTACCTTATCCGGTCAAGGTCGAGAAGACAGTACCTTACCCTGTCCACGTCCACTACGACAGGCCCGTACCTTACCACGTACCAAAACCGGTGCCATACGAAGTAGAGAAGAAAGTCCCAGTCCCGGTCAAAGTGTACGTTCCTCAACCTTACCCGGTCGAGAAGAAGGTCCACGTGCCCGTTAAAGTCGAAGTACCCCGTCCGGTACCGTACCACGTCGAAAAACCCGTGCCCTACAAAGTAGAGAAAGAAGTACGCGTCCCTGTTTATAAAAATGTCCCAGTGCCGGTCAAAGTCTACTACGACGTGCCGAAACCTTATCACGTGCCTGTAACCGTCGAGAAGAAAGTACCTTACTACGTCGAGAAGAAAGTACCGGTTGAGGTCAAAGTCCCAGTGGAAAAGCCGTACGAAGTCGTCGTCCATAAGCCTTACAAAGTCTTCGTCGAGAAACCTTATCCAGTCACCGTCGAGAAAAAAGTCCCCGTCTATGTCAAAGTACCGGAATACTACAAAGTCTACAAACCTGTACATGTCGAATCTCACGAAGAAGAACATAAAGAACACAAAGGGTACGGTGAACATTTCTCCTACCACTATTGAAAACTTCGAATTATGTAACTAACTGCCTGTAAAGATGTAAATTTTAAATAAATTATTTTTTTATGCTCCCGTACTTGTTGTCAATTTTTAAACCTACACTTAGAGTAAATACAAACATTAGTTTTGTATTATAATATTATTAAGAATAATTGACCAACTAATTCAATATATTTACAGTTTAAAGATATACATGAAAAAATTTAAAAAATCAATCTTTTTCAGGGAGGTGGATAATAAAATATCATCCTCCCTGAAAATAATTGATTATTTTTAATTATCTATCTTTTTGTTAGCATGTGGTTTAAGAGCGTAATTGGTTTTTTATTTAGCGAATAAAGCCCTTCTTGCGCTTGGGCCAAGTGTCGGAGGCTGAGCTTACTTTTCAACTTGGTATTTTATTGAAGCCGGCGTTTCAACTGATCAAATATTGACGCTGAGAGTTATCAAGGCGCGATGGCGACGGCGGAGGGCGTCGAGGATTCCGATTGGCGGTTTTACAAGTGAAAATGCAAAATCACGCGTAAAATCCGCCACGTCGTAAATGGAATTCACACAAGGAAAGCGTTTGAAATTATAATTTTTCCCCTCCCCTCCATTGAACATGTGTATACACAAGTGTAACATATTTTAAATCCACATTTACATCACATTTTTACGATAAGACTTTTTTCTTATAAGAATGGTTTTGAATATTTTAATAAAATGATTTGCAACAAGAAAAAATAAGCAGCAAATTTGAACTTTTTAAGCACAGGGTTTGCAGTATGATGCCATCATTCTTCAAATTTTAAGAGAATTTAAAAAAAAATTATATTTTTAATAAGAGAGTGTAACGATGCTTCTCACATTACTGTCTTTCACGAAATTACTTCCTAATTATCCAGGGCTGTATCTCAGTTTAAACATCGTTGAGGAGGCCCAAGGTGGTGAGAGAGAAATAGAACCATGTCTGAACTATCAGGAAACAAATAGACAAAACATAAACTTGAGAGAGAGAGAAAGAGAGAGAGAGAGAGAGAGAGAGAGAGACGGACAGACAGAGAGACAGAAAAAGAAAATGAGAGGGAGTGAAAGAGAGGATGACAGGAGAGAAAGTGAGGAGAAGGATCGAATGAGATGGAGAAAAACGGAGTGGACGTTAATAATTAGACTAAAAAGAGAAAGAGAAAACAAAATGTGGAATGACAAAATATTAATACGTAGGTAGGTCGGCAGAATGTTTGGTAGAGAAAGCAAGTCAAAAACAGCTAAAAAGAAAAATGCAGCGAGATATTGAAAGACATATACACGTAAGACAATTGATAGTGGCTATGGAAACTGAACTGGAAATGAGCATATAAATGAACAGAATAGAAGAATACTAACTTGAATAAATTAAAATATATCGACTCAGAACACACGTACTAAAGTCTCTCTTTAGCAACTTATTCTCAACTAAGTCCTTCTGGGCCTGCCGCATGGAACATTTCAGGCCACTTCCGACTGTTCGGCCATCCTCTTGCTCCAAAAGTTGATACACTGTTTCAGACGATCACCACTCGCTAAGGTCTTCGTCGGACATTCCCCTATTCCACATTTAATCAATAACTGCTTATTTGGAAATCGTGAGGATCACTAAACACCACACATCCTCAATAACTTTATAGAGCCCCAAAAATTTGGATTTGATTTTTGCTAAATTGCTACTGGATCCCTACATTCTGGTTTTTGTTCTTCTTTTATCGAAGGTTCTGCTCTGTTCCTTTTGCGGTTTTATAATTTGGCGTTTTGCCTTGGCCAATAGTTCATCTCGGTCTGTATCATAAGTTTGTGCAACTGTCCCAGCAATGATTTCTCGTAACTTTCTGCTTTCCGTTCTTCTCATTTCCGTCCCGAACATAAATTTGACTGGAGATGTTCCGATGCTTTGTTGGTAGGAGTCGTTAATTGCCATTTAGATCGTCGTCGTGTGTTTGTACCATTATCAGGTTCTTCCAAAGTAAGGTTTGTCATCATTGGTATTATAATTTCCTTAAGCCTTTCGACTCGTCTGTTTCCTCACGGTACTCCTGTTCTAATAATGATGCGTTTAACTTCTCAAAGCTCACAATATTCCATAAAGTCTTTAGAAGAGGCCGTCGGTGGCCGCAACGGTTTAGGCGTTGACACGACGCTTATCACTGTAAGGCAAAGGTCCCGGGTTCGAATCCAGCGGCCCTCCATTGCAAATAAAAAATGAAACTATAGCATTTCATTTTGGTCTGCATATCCTCGGTAGACACATGTTTCGGCAGTTCGTTTCTTCAGTGTTAAGAAAAACAATATGATTACATTTTTAAACAAATATATTTTGAATACATGGAGATATGGTATTCCCGTTTGTACGTTAATCGTCCTTCTTTGTCGTGGTCACCCATTCCTCGCTGTTTTTATTTTTTCCCCTTGTTGATTATTATAACTAAAAAATAAATTATAATCACGCCTGATTATAGTTTAGGATGCAAACTAGAAAGAGTTTTATCTATTCATTTGTTACTCGAAAAAAAGCCTTCGGAAGACAATGGAGATCCTCTGACGGTTATGATAATTTGAGGAGTTCTTAATTACTCTTCTGTTTGTTCAGCTCCTCAAGAACATTCGTTGATGTGGACTTAGGGGGATATATCCAACAAAATTTTGAAATTCCGTTTATGCTCCTACGAAAAAATTTGTACGCTTTCGGCGGAAAAGTTAATGGTCCAAGAAGATCCAGAATTTTATGTGTAAAAATGCCTTTCCCTATGTGGTTAAGAAATCTTTCCTGTTTTCCATATACATAATTTTTTTCATCTACATGGAAATCTACAAACAGTTTGAGTAAGTACGAATACTTTGATTGAATCTAAAATTTTCTAGCATTGTATAACTTCATTTTTTTAATCTAAACTTTCTTGCATTGTATAAATTCATTCTTTTTTTTAATCTAAAATTTTCCAGCATTGTATAAATTCAATTTTTTTAATCTAGAATTTTTTAGCATTGTATAAATTCATAATTTTTTTCACATCCTACATGTATTTGTAAAATCAAACAATGTTTATAACTCCCAGGCCCTGAAGATGATCTCAATAAAGATCGAAAAGTTGGCTCGATAAAGAAAATGTTTTTCTAAAACCTACGTCACACCAGACCGCATCTCACGATCTCCGAATAATACATAATTTTTTATGAAGTCGCTTACTCTTGTTCTTACATTTTCAATAAAATATTCTTTTTCAATTGGTTAACAGTTTTTCTCGCTCAAAAAGGTCCTCTCTCATGCACTTCGAATGATTTCAGTACTCGTTCGTTTTGACACCATCGTACAGTTTGTACAAAAGACTATTTTCCTGAACATAATCCTCAAATAGCGATATCCCAAAATTTTCCAAAGTTTTTGCAAACTATCAAGGAAACCACACGAAATTGGTAAAGCAGAAGGGTAGCTGCTTAACTCGTCGCAATATCTCATTTTTTCACCAGAACGATGTTCAATAGTAGTTAGTGAATTAATCTAAAATCATTGCCCAAGCTAATTTTGGACATCCTTTTTGCTTAAATTTTGTGGAAAAGCAGCACAGTCTGTCACAATATTGCATGTTATACCGACGAATAAGTGCGAGTAGAAGGAATGTGCGAAGAAGAAGTGAGTGGATGAAACAATGAAATCATGAAAACACAAAAAAAGATCGATGCCCAGAGAGAAGGAGAACGAAAGAAAGGCAGAGTGAGTGAGCGATGAAGAGGGATGAGTGCTTCTTTAACGTTGTGCTGATTTCTGCGTTTACACATCGTAGTTATTACTGTACGTTCTTATGTTTTTTAAGCCGAGTTCAAAGCCCGTAAGGCTTATATTATTAACGGTCAGATTGTTCCTTTATAAATTATTTCTTTATAATAATAACCAAATCCTGTGAAATAATCATTCCACTCCGAGTAGTACGTTTTATCTGGGAATGTAAATCATGAATTCTTGTGGATTTTACATCCCTTGTGCTGAGAATATTTTTAATTTTAGATAATCAAACTGCTTCACTTTTGCATGCGGTACTTATGATTTTTCGTTCGGACAGATCTATCGCATGCATTTACGCTTGGAAGAAATTTCCTACGGTTCGTAGAGATTATAAATCCTTCCTCGTTACAAAACCGGTTTCTTCATCTGCACACTTCTTTTTTCGATTTATTAATTAAGCAAGATCCTATGGTGGATACATTAAGCTCCTTTCATAGCCTGAATGTTCTAAGGAAAACTTATAAAATATTTACTTCGGAGGAAACAAATTTTTGATTTTCATAAAAACTGAGGGTTATTTCAGGGTTTTGTAGTTCATTTCAATTTAGTGACTTCAAGCAAGAAAGTTTTCGGATTACTTAGAGTTTAAAAGAGCCTTCCTCATTACAAAACCGGAAGTCTTTTCCGGAGCTTTGCCCTTGTTTTTCGTATAACAATTAAGTAGGCAATGCCCCTTGTAGGGAAAACTAACAGTATTTCCTCTTATTTCCCTCTTTTTTCTCTATTTTTTAGTTTTTTAAACTTCCAATTGATCGAACAACTTTTTTTTTAAATTAGGAAACTTAGATGTTCTTTAGTATGTCGGGTGGTAACGGGGAAGATTTTATTTGCAGTGCTTACTTTAGCGTAGGCGGCTCTTTTTTTTTGTAGGGTGTTTTATCCTGGAACAAAAGCGACCAAATACCCGAATTTAACCAGGGGACTGGGGGTAAACATTGAGTTATTACATTGCTTATACTCGGATTCCATTTGGATTATTATCACTGGCCATTAACTCCGGATTAAATATTAAATATAATCCCTAATTAAATATGATTGTAAATAGAAAAATCCCGGTGTTTATTTTTTTAATTGAATCACAAATATACCCGAATTAATGAACGGAATCAAAATTTGAGAAGAAAATTTAAGTTTTAACATTTCAGCCTATTTACGCTACTGTTAATCTTCTTCCAAAAATTATTCCTAAAAGCAGAAATATTATTATGAGATGGCTTCTGGATCTACAAAAGTTTGGTATACAATTAGGTCGTTTGTTCTCATTCTGGTCC